TCCTCATCGCTGTTTCACCTTATAGGAAAAGGAAGGAAAGGTATGTTATGTTGGTCATTTTCATAACTTTTTGTTTTTTTATATTTTATATATATAAATCGCCCTCAATTTATATTGAGGGCGATTATGTTTTAACCATCTTATTCCGAGTTGCCAGTCATCTTAAATCCTGTATCTTCTCTCTCTTCTTCTCAACCCCTGAAGCTGAACTGATTTTAAACTCTATGTCCTCTGTCCTTCCTCTCATCCGACCTACAGAGCGAGGGCAGTGATGAAAACGGCTCCGATAACATAATGCACAACATGGACCCTCAGCTGGAGCGGCAGGTGGAGACCATCCGTAACCTGGTTGACTCCTACATGGCCATCGTCAACAAGACCGTCCGTGACTTAATGCCGAAGACCATCATGCACCTCATGATAAACAATGTGAGCATCAACTGAGATTTAATGTCCCAAACCTCTAAAAAAACTAAAAAGAACAGACCGTTTTATAACAAAATATACGATTATACTTTAATGGTCAGATCAAGTCTGAAATTTGACTTGCATCACAGCAGCTCCATGTGTTACATCAACATAGACAAATATCAAGACACAATACATGAAAAACAAACAGCAAACATTTAACATAACAGCACAATCACTGAGAGACATGCTCAAAGACCCTTTAGTGTGCATTTGATCTGGGAGCTCTGTATTTACTGTGAGGATTGACTGGTGCTCAAAGGAGTGCTTCAGTCTGACTTTATTGAATCGTGGGACCCTGTATCTCAGCCTCACTAGGTTATTATGGTATGCTGAGTCGTAAAGTCTCTGACAGGATTGACCAACAATCTTTGAGCAGATTTTTAACAGGTGGAGCAGTTTGGATTTTAAAGCCGTTGACAAACACTTGTACCAGGTAGTATTGCAGTACTGTAGAATAGAAAAAATCACAGATGTAAAGAACAACGGAAGAATTTCTCTGCTCGCCCCAAAAGACCTAAGGCGGCGGAGACAATACATTATTTGTGCTGTCCTTTTGCACAGATATTCAATATGGTCTTTCCATGACAGTAGATATCTCTTCCATTTCGTCCAGACTAAAGAGTTCATCAACGCAGACCTTCTGGCCCAGCTGTATTCGTGCGGGGACCAGGGCTCGCTGATGGAGGAGTCTCAGGAGCAGGCCCACCACCGGGACGAGATGCTCCGGATGTACCACGCCCTGCGGGAGGCCCTCAGCATCATCGGTGACATCAGCACGACCACTGTCACCACCAGCATGCCGCCTCCCGTGGACGACTCCTGGCTGCAGGTGCAACGGGCCAACATGGGAGGAAGGTAAGAGACGATGGGAAGGGGCGGAAGAAGAGCATTACAGGTTGTTTTTGGAGACACTACAGGAAAAATATAGATATTTTCATGCACTGGTACATTTTAAGATTTTTGACTTTTTCTTACTTCCATAATATATCGTCTTTCGGTAAAAACTACAAAAAGTCATCTAAATTACGCACTTAGGTGTTTACTTACTATGTCTATGTTCTTCACTAGATTCCCCCTAAAATAACAAAAACTAAGCATTAGATAATGCCTCATTTGCATATTTAAATATAAAATGCTACCCTATTTACTTGCAGTCGTTTCTTTCTAAATTTGGTTTATATACTTCTACTGTAGGCCTCAAGCATTCACTTTTTTAACACTTGCAACAAACTTTCCATTTTTATTTACATCTATAATTTAAAGCTTCTTTTAGAATGGTTTGTCCTTATAAGTCATGCCCTGATTTATAGGATGTTTTACTGTAAACAAACTGCATTTTTTTTTCTACCTTATTCACCTTTTGGTAACACTGTTTATCCTTGAAGTCAGAATATTTTTGTTTTATTTGGGTTACTATATAACTATAAGAATTTGCGTTTTATTATCATAATGTTTCTTTATATTTGTTAATGCAGTAGTTGATGTCTCCTCTGTCTTCCTCCAGGTCTCCAGCCACCAGTCCCACTCCAAACCGCAGAGCTCCACCAGGACCTCCGGCCCGCCCGGGCTCTCGGGGGCCTCCACCTGGGCCTCCACCCGCTGGGGGCCCCCCTGTCCCGTCCCGCCCAGGGTCTTCCCCGGACCCTTTCAGCGGGCCACCACCCACTGTGCCCTCTCGGCCTAACCGTGCACCCCCAAGTGTGCCTAGGTGAGTCAAACATGAGAGGCCTTTCAAACAAACAACCCTACCTCACATCATTTTCTTATAAACCTATTTGAGTTAAGTTTTACACAGATTACATAACATCCAAACCATGGCTTATAATATTATGCGAAGATATCCAGCCTGAAGTGTGGATACTCTATGTTACTAAGGGGGATGTGAAGAATCCTGGATGAGGGGATGAAGGAGGTAAATGAAAGTGGAGACCTCTGGTTGTGTTAGAGGGTTGATGAATAGAGTGATAGAGATCCCTCAATAGATCAATAGACAGATATAACTAATCGTCAGTGATCTTATTTCCTCTTTTGTTCTTGGTTAAGGTAAACATGTTGGTACCTTTCTGCCAGCATTTTGAACTTTCAACACACTGTTAACCATCACACTCCACTATTCATCACTTACACCCACCTCACCACTGTCCTATTAAGACATGTGCACTTTAAAGAAGTGACTGTTAGCCTTAGGAGGATTTTCTTTTCTGTTCCTCATTAACCTTATCTGCTTTGTGTTTGTCTGTGTTTGTGAGCTGGCTTTTTTATCACTGTAAGAGCTTTTTTTAAAGTAGGAGACAATAACATCATTGAGCAACGTTCTCACCTGCAAATGCAGCTTAAAAAATTGACTTTGTCAAGACTCTTAATCAAAACATCTTTCCACGCCTTATTCTGGTCTGTCCGAAGTGAGAGCTCAGCTCATGCGACGTTTGTCTCTTCCTGCACTGTAACTGTTTGCACTCCTTTTCTCTTTACCTCCTCTTCATCCCTCTGTCCCACACATGACTATTGTTCCTTCTACAGAATCACGATCACTGACAAATGAGGAGTCTCTGGTATGTTGGGTACTCTCCGGCATCTTCATCATCATCCCTCTTTCTCTTCCTCTCAGGGGGCATCTTTTCACTGCATGCCATTTTCTTTTTCTCACTTTTAATTTTCTCTTCTCAGAGTGCTGCATGGGCAAACACACACCCAGTTCGGAGCTGAGGGTGTGTGTGTTTGCTTCAGTGTTTGGGCTGACTTTGGATGCGATGCTAGTTCATTTATTAGGTGGTGTCGGTTGTGTTATTGTGCCTTGTAAAAGAGGACATATCTTAGATTACAGCATCAATGAGTGAGACAGGACTCAACTTTCCAAAACCAGAAATGAATTGTTGTTCTTGTGTTGGTGTTGTATGTGAGGTAGTATGCCATGATATTCAATTGTGTCTCCAGGTGTCTAATATTTGTGTTTAAAGTCATGGCATCTGTCAATCTCCACGTTCAATATTTTTTATAATTTAGCGTTAGGCAAGGTAGCACTGCAGGTGATTCCCCAAACATTTTCAAAGGAAAAATGATAGTTTTACCTTTTCAGGCATCTAAAAAAAACATTTAAATAAAAAGTATGCTTAATTATGACCCCTCAAATGTAATTGTAGTTATTTTCTTAGAGTTTGCTAAGTGTATTAAGGGTTTTTACTCTCCTGTAGCAACACCATATGATTATTATAAGGATTACAACAACAGAGTTTAGTAAAAAGAGGTCTGTTTAAGTGCATGTATTTAGACAACACTATAATAATGCCTGCATTTGGCATCTACTGCAAACATACATTACCTGCAATGCAGTCATGTACCTGATATCTCTGTGATATTGGTTATGTTTTGGGGGTTTCTTCCATGTGTTATCTCATGATATAAGTGACTGTTTGAGTGAAGGTTATTGTATTTGTGTGCATGAGTAACACATGGGGGCCTTTAAATAACAATAAGTATGTATAAACTATAATTCAGAGTTTAAAACGAAGACTGCAAACACCTAGAGAACATTAATCCAACTTGTTCCCGTCCTGTCTTCTTTGTGTCTGTTCCTGTGCGTTTGTGTGTCCATGGCAGTCGGAGACCCCCCCCTTCTCCAACCCACTAGACCTCTGAGCTCCTCCCTCTCCCCGCCCGTCCTCTGTCCCACCTCTGGATGAGAAGCCGTGGACAGCAGCGCCACCTTCCTGTTGTTTTCCTTCCACACCCGACCTGAGCCGGCTCCCTTCTCCTGCTCCCTTTCCTGCAAACACACACATGCACGCAAACAAACACACACACCTTCTGTCTCACACAGAGTTGCAGAATACTTGAAACACACTTGCATGACTGACATACGACCATGCTGCACCCTCAGAATTTAAACAATGTAAAGAATATACAATAATTTATACATTGTACAGTGTATGCACATGTGCATGCACACTGCCTATATAAATATCCAAAAATATACAGTATATATTTACATCCTGCTATTAAACCTAAGGTGGAAGACATTTGAGACTTAGCATGCCTGAGTATTACATTATACTCCAGCATTTCTGATGGGGAACCTGGCTGCTGACTGACTTCACTTTTCCTCTTTAAACATTTGTCTTATGTGTTTTTTCCCCTGACTTCTTCGCCAAAAATCCTTGCGTACTAACTCACCTTATATTGCCGATCATGCTTGAATAAAAAAGTGTTTAATCAGACGTCTTCAAAGCTGGGTAAAAAAAATATGATAGCTACTGTAAAATAAACTGACACCAAATGGCAAATCAAGATCAGAATGTCCTGAGCAAATTCTTCAGTGCAGTTATCTTTGACAATACATGTTTTTATGAAGAATTAATCAGCTGGAAACTAAATACTTTGTTTTGTTAAAACTTCACTGAAGTTCTGCTCTCTGTTAAGTCATGTGTAGCTTATTTTCCTCCCCTCCTTCATCCCTTTGGCTCCTCTTCTTTTAATCTCTCCCTGATATCCACTGATCAAGTATGGAACAGACTCACTATCACTCACTCATATTACACAAGGAAGAAAGGATTGAATAAAATAAAGGGGGAAAGGATTCCCTTCAGACTCCATGACTTCAGATACCTGCACAGACAGGAGCTGATGCTCTTCATCCTTTTGTCCCTCCTTCTTCTTTTCTCCCCTTGCGCTAGTAAAGGGATGATCTGAAGGACCTGTAGTAGACTCCCGTAAGCCAATTCACATGGCTGTGTCACAACCACCTCTTAAAAACACTGTCGTCTGTGCCTCCACAGAACCTATGCAACAATGAAAATCTTTTTTATTGGCATAAAGAGGGGCCTCCCATGGCTCTTTTTCACCGTTTCCTCCTCTTCTCTTCACAAACACTTTTTCATTGCGTTAACTTATTGAGGCGGGATCTAAATAGAAAGTGCAATATATGGAATATTCTTCTGCATACAGCTGCATGCCACTGTAACACAACAATCAGTACATTTTAATCTGAGAGGAAGGGAATCTGTGGCCTGGGTCGCACCCTGAGACTGTAGAGAGCTCCGGATACATCCTTTTTAATCAGAGGGAATGAGGTCCCTAATGGGAAAGGTTTCAAATATTTTGAGTGTTTCTAAGTCAATTGCATCACATAATGCATCAAACCCTCTGATACTGACAGGAATACTTTTGCATTTTATCTTCATGATCGGCTATTTATTTTCTTTTTTTTTCTCTTTTCTTTTCTTTCTTCCTTCTCTCAGTGGTCACGGGGGTGAGTGAGATCATGAAAACAGCTACAGTCTATGCATTAAACTATCCTCCTGTTTCACCCTCGCATTGCTGTCTGAGAACGTGTGTGTTCAACTCACCTTTTCACCAGTTTTGCACTTGAACTCTGCTGTCAGTGTGATGTTGTTTTTCTGACCCCAAGCAAGAAATACCAACCCACCGGCCTCAAAAACCGAGCTCTGTACCTAACTGATCTTTAAAAACCACTTCAATGATCCCTTGCAACAGAAACACAAAAAAGCATATTATAGTTATTATTTAACAGTAGATAGTTTAACTTGGACATATCTTATTGTGTTATTATGTATATGTGTGGTGCATCTTATGAGACTTGTACTATACCAATGTCTAGAGAATGTAGTCTGCTGAATATTTAAATTAAATGTGTATGTGTATAAGGAAATGATATTGGAAAAACGTATACAAATGTGTAATGCGGTCATATATGAGGACATTAGCAGGTTTCAAACTTAAGATAGTAACAGAGAGGTATTTTTTTGTTTCTTGTTTCTCTCTGTGTGTAGAAGAGCAGAAAGAGAGAGTATGCATTTTTGAACTGCAGAAATCAGCAGGTCCTGCATATGTTTAAACTGCTGTGGATGAAATGATGACTTTAAACGGCCTACAGGATTGCTTTGTCAACCCATTAAAAACCTCAGTGTACTGAATGACGTTTCCTCTGTTTCTTCTTTTTCTCTTTATGGTCGTTTATAATATGTTCAAAACAGCTATATTGTATTTATTCAGGCAGGTGAAACTTTATTTTAAAATAAATTAAAAACAAATCTGTAATTGTGTTGAAATATTCACTCTTCATATAGCCTACTACAAGACTAGTCAAGTGTTCGCAGCTCTGGGGGACTGTTAAGTCAGAGCAGTGCATTGAGCTAAATGCTAACATTGATATCCTAGCATGTTTACACAGACATTGCTAACATAGAATATCATCTTTTAATGGTCACACATGCAGAGCACACAGCACACACAGTGACATTTGGCCTCTGCATTTAATCCATCTAAGAGCAGTGGGAAGCTATTGTACAGCGCCCGGGGAGTGAGGGGGGAGGGGGGTGTTCGGTGCTTGCCTTGCTCAAGGGCACCACGGCAGGGCAGGAGGTGAACTGGGACCTCTCCAAGTAGCAGTCCACACTCCATATTTAGGTCTGATCGGGGACCTACGGTTCACAGTCCAAGCCCCTACTGACTGAGCCACTGCCGGACCATGACATGACATAACAACCCAGTCTCATGGCATTTCGTGTTCACCAACACGATTTGTAATCTATTGAGTCGTGTTCACCAACACGATTTTCCCCTTTTTTTCGTGTTGCACAGCTAGATTTTAAAAGCAATGTATTTCTACTGGTAATGTGTTTCGTGCACGTCTTTTTCTCTGGTCGGGTCGTGGAAGACCGGAAGCTGTGTGGTTCATAAAAACATGTTCTTACTCAATATCAAGCCACAATTATTGCTTTTATTTTAAATCGTATAATTTCGGACTTTTGTTGCCGCCTGTGAGGAAAATAAATGGGACTCAGAGAAATCTGTATTTTTTTAAATCTTTTTTTCCTTCTAATTTGTTATTATTTTCAAAATAACACACTGTTATTTACTCACCAATAACACACAATTATCCTTGCTTTTATTTATTGGTTTAATTCCATAATCTCGGGCTTTTTTGGCGTCCGTCAGAAACTGAATTTCAAAATAAAAATAACCGGAAACAGACGTAGGCCTGACATTTCGAGCATCATTGCGATTGTCAACATTTCTGAGTTTAGGATGGCCGAAGACACTACACTACCCATAATCCCCAGCTATCGTTTAGGACTACAGTCCTCGTGATTAATCTTCAAACTCTGGGATTGGATGTTGGAGTGCCAGTGCGCCAAGGTTACAACGAGCGTCAAACCGCTGTTTGAAATGGAACGAAACCACGCCAGACTATCCAAAACTGGAATCGAACGCCCCCCCCAGAACTACACGCTGGCTATTGTGTTTCGCAAAATGTTCTATGGGACATCTCTACTGAACGTTTTCGTTTTTCCCACAATTAGAAGTTGCCAGTATTAAACACATTGGTGTTATCAAATGTAAAACATATAATTAATAAATGGGTGAAAATTGCTTGTGTCCATAATGCGCAGCATTAATATACCCACGCAGCTCATTGTTACTTTGTAATTCTACTCCACTACAATTCAGAGGTTAACCTGGTATTTTTACTCCACTACACTTATTTGAGTTACTTTGCAGATTCTGATTAATGATGTGAAATATAAACAACCCTTAAATCAGACTTTAGTTACAGTAAAATTCAGGTAAGGTGATTGTCAAGTGCCAACAATCAGGAGAGATATTTGATAGTTGGTGCTTGAGAAGACTTTTATCTTTAATTGACATGAATGGAAACGAGTAATAAAGTATATGCATTACTCGTTATTCTCTACTAAGAGTTAATTAAAGACTGTATTATGGCTATTTTGCACATCCCTTTCAAGATTTCAAGATTTTCAAAGGTTTATTGACATAATCATATACACAACAACGGTGTATGCAATGAATGAAAATCTTAGGTCACAGGTTCCTCAACAGTGCATTACAAGACATCTATCAATATGTGTGTACCTCCACCATTAAACTGTCATATTCTGCACATTTCTTATACTATCTACATACATAAGTGTATAATTCATATGTATAATATCAGATAAAATAAGTGCTTCAACATAGTTAACATTGCAGGAAAGCAATTATGTTAAGTACTTTGTCAGGCTTAATATTTATCTGTAGATAGATACCCCCAAAGTGTTTTTCTTATTTAAAAGAAGACCTTAATCTAAAGTATTATTTAATGTTTAAATAAAGGTTAATTCGTTTTTCTCTTTTGCACCTCCTCCTAATATCTTTGTACATCCTGCACTAAACTGTTTTATTGTAGAGATCACTTATAGTATCCTCTTGATTTTTTATATTCTATATTTCTATCACAGACCTTCTACTTTCCCCCTATGAAAGTATGTACTCTTAATATTTTTTTTATCAAATATAACACATACAAACAATAATTCAATAACCTGCTTTAACCACTAGGCGGTTCACACAAGGTACAGGACACTTATGTATGTACAACATCTGAAGATGTGTAGTTTTATTCATGCTTTCACATCATTTTACAGCATATTGCTATACTATTTCAGACTAAATATTTACATTCTTACATTCAAAGAAAATCAGTAATATCTTTAAAAACTACAAGTCCTTTTATATCAGCTGTGCACCGTTATGGTGTAAATATAACCTATCTATGAATTAGATCAAATGTAAAAGTCAGCCGAATTAGTGTTGATACTGCAAGGAGACGTATTGTGTGAAGAGAAATTGAAGATGTTGTTTAATTGTTGATATATTTATGATCCATGTCACGTATTCAGTTTCGGCGGCATTTCTTCCAGTTTTTCCAAAGGTCTTCTCATCAGGGCTCTATAAATAAAGAACTACGGCAGATCTGTAATATGTAATGCAGCCGAACCGTGTATTACAATGCCGTTATGTGATGACTTTCATAGAGAAAAGCAAGAGCACTCGGAATTAAGTATTATTTTAAAATGTTTTCCGGATTTCATATCATATAAACACCAAATCCCAGAATGCATTGCGGCTAAAACATCAAATAAACGAGTTTAAACCATAGCTGAGGATCTTGGGTAATCGCCATAGGTAATCGCTCGAAATGCCTACGTCTGTTTCCGGTTATTTTTATTTTGAAATTCAGTTCCTGACGGACGCCAAAAAAGCCTGAGATTATGGAATCAAACCAATAAATAAAACGGAAACAAAAGTCCGAAATTATACGATTTCAAATAAAAGCAATAATTGTGGCTTGATATTGAGTAAGAACATATTTTTATGAACCACACAGCTTCCGGTCTTCCACGACCCGACCGGAGAAAAAGAAGTGCTGCACGCACGAAACACATTACCAGTAGAAATACATTGCTTTTAAAATCGTGCTGTGCAACACGAAAAAAAGGGGAAAATCGTGTTGGTGAACACGAATCAATAGATTACAAATCGTGTTGGTGAACACGAAATGCCATGAGACTGGGTTGGACATAACATGCTAATTTAGCAGGTAGCAATAGTATGTTTACCATGTTCCCTCTTAGCGCGGCAACTTCTTTTGCTAATGAAGGACTACTTTTCACAAAATATAGTTAGTGCTGCAGTTGATGTTATTTATGTACCTTTAAACCCAAGTATTGGACACATGTTTTGTTTTTACGTTTGCATACATAAGCTTGGTCTTTTAGAAATGAATTATCAGCAGATGAATAAATTACGAAAATATTATGTATTTATTATAAATATAATAAACACATTAAAGAAACCAGTTTCATTATAAGCCATGAAGGGACTGGTTTGGAGTATTAATATTGTTTTCTTTAGCCACAATATAGTATCCAAAAGGTGAAAAATCTGTCCATTTTGCCACCGGAATTAAGGGTTTCAAATTCACAATAACTAATGGTTTTTAAAATGATTAGCAAGTTTTTTTCTGAGTGTAGTAATTGTGATAATGAGTGGGTAAAAGGAAGGCCACTTTCACAGCAGCCTTCTGACTTGTCATATGAGGCAAAGCACAGGTGTTACTTAAAACATTAACTAAGGTTCAGCTCAATCAAAGCTATTCCAGAGCCAGCCTGCACAATAAACTGGCATCCCATAGTTGAATGTTTTTGTGATTAATGCTATGTATTACACCTGTGCTTTTCAGAATGTCTGCACTTAAAAGGGAATAGAAAAAGCCCAGGTGTAAATAATCAAATAAACGATGAAATCCATTTAGCTTATGGCCCCGTCATTAACATTATTAGCAACACCTGTTCCTTTTTTCTCTTATGTCAAACTGCCCAAAGTTTCAGAGTATCCAAATAATGGAGAAATAGACACACAATGTTTTCAAGTTGCTCAATCAGTTTTATTCAGGAGAAGGAGAGAAAATATTACTCAAGGGAAACAAAACAAAAAATCAGAAAGCTTCTGTCAGAAGCAGCCCTCGAACAAATCAGTTCTCTGAATGATCCTTCATTTCCATCCATTTCTATTTTACATTAAAACTGATTAGTTGAGATACTAACTTATTCCAAATAAATAGAATATTTTTCTTAAGTCAATCTTTGTATTAAATCACAGCCAGTCAGTAACCGCCCACACCTCGACTCTGGACAAACTTCAGACACACTGTCCGCACTGCCAGTGAACATGGCAGAGCAGCACTTCCCCCACACACCAGGCATAATGAATATACAATATGTTACAGTTACAGTATTTACACCACCTCTTTTACAGTAAAGACAATAAATGCTTTCCCATTGCTTTTTGTTTCAATCACGCATTAAATATTTAACAGTGAATTAGAAAGTAATTGTATCCCAGTTGATTAAGCCCCGCAAAAACACTAAAAGGATTTTTATTGTATATTTACCTTTTGGTCAGACCAAAAACAAAATAAAGGAAAAATATATACTGTGACATGTTTCAAAGGAAACCAAAAAGTGACAGAATGCTAAGAAGCGAGGAATTTTTAAATCAAGAATGATTAAGTACATTTATCCCAAAACCACCTGGTACTATCAAAGTGCTGTGGTTTAGGGAAGACGCAACAATGTTTACTTTGCCTGTAAAAAACCACCAGGTACATATGGCCTCCACATATGACTTTTTTCGTTCTATAATAGGCAAAAAATACCACAATTTGCACTAACACTTTCTGTCCTGTTGCATTCAGGGATAAATATCAAGTGTGCAATTCAATAACCGAACAAATGTGTCTTCTACCTGAAAGTAAAACACATCAGAGGGGATCTTAAAATTCAAAAACATCCAAATGAGAAGGTTAAAATACCTCCAAAAGTAGTGAGTGGGATTTTAGTAAGACTTGCAGTAAGACCCACATGTCCTTGCATATTCAAACCATGGAAAGGCTCTAAAAAACCAGAGGCCTTTGCCATGATTTGGTCCTTAAATGGATATTTTAAGCCGTGATAACTCTTAGTTATTAGTAGCAAAGGGAAAGAGCTTTACAGTGAAGAAGTGTCAATCAAATCAAATGAATCCATCCGCCAATCTACATTTATGAACAAGAGCATCTCTCATGTAAAGCTAGGCACTTGCAACATCTTAAGTTCAGAAAAAAGCATTTCCAATGCCCAAAAGAAAATTCACTCAAGTGTTGCACAACACGTTTGACTAGTTTCGGAAAGAGATGTTAATTTTCACAAATTCTGATTGGTCCCACAGCTTTGGGAATAATGTCACATGCTCCTTCTGTTCATATTTACAATACATCCCACACACACACACACTTTCAATCATTTGCATCAGCTGGAACCCTCAGCTTTGGTGTGGCTTCATAGGATTCAACGTTTCCTCCACAGAATTTATTAAACAGGCTTTGAAGCTCTACCACTGTCCAACCAGCCACAAAGGACAGAGCCAAATGAGAAGCTTTGTACAGTTTTAGTGCAATCTTAGTTATACAAACTGATAGAACTCTACAAAAAAGTACAACAGATGCAACTTGGATCTCACACACACACGCATCACGCACACTCACAGTCCAGTTGTAAAGGATTTGCATTCATATGATATGTGGAACTACAAGCAAATGTAACTGGAAAAAAACTGGTTCTCATCAATAGTGTCAATGTGTTTAGAAACTTAAAGACCCCATGAAATTATGGTTAGGGATGAGCAGCTTTGATAAGGGAACAAAATAAATAAATAAAGAGTGGACGTTTTTTGATGAGAACAACAAAATGTCTGAGATTATGGACATTTGAAGAAGAAAGATGAATTATGAGTGCAGATAAAGAGAATTTACCATACTGCCTGTATCCGTCGAGTTATTGCACCTTATCTCTATCATGCTAATGACAAAGATAAAGTAAAACTGGGAAAAAACGACAATGCGGAAAGCAGCCCAAAGCACAGCAACTGCAGCATTATAATTGTTCTGAATTATAAATTATTTCTTAACAACTTTGACTTAAATTGATTTGCTTTTATCATGGGGTCTTTAAATTGCATCTATCCCCTCCTTCTCTCAGTTGAACAGGATGTTTGACATCACAACACAAACATTTCACATATATTAACATTACTAACTGTACAGACAGAAGACGGTTTTCAGTGTTTGGAGGAAAAAGGCTAAAGTAGAGAAAAGGTACCGATCTGCGACACCTGCATCCATCTTTTCTGAACCTCATCATGTAACTAGCAACCTTTTGACTTGACTACATAACAGCGCTAACAATTCAAAAGCTATTATGTGCACTCTTAACTTGACTTTTAACTTACATCTCACTCTGCATCTCCTCGTGCACCCTTTCACCACCATCATCAGCTCTCCTCTCATCACACAAACATACGGGTAAATATCCGGGTTATTACATTCAAACGTGATGCTCTTTTTTGGCATTTGTCCAATGAACTTTTGTAAAACTGATATTTGCACTATAGTGAACAGGCTCCTTATTTTGAACAGCTCTTTAGGTACTGTATCAGAAAGGAAACTCAATATACGGCCCCTTTATTGCACTTATGTGTAAAATAGGAGACGAGGGATGGTGAATAGAAATGGTGGTTTGGAGAATAATCAGATACTGGTTATCTCTCTGGGAAGAGCATCATAGACAAAAAAGACAACATAGTAAACAACATATAGATAATACTCTCTTTTTAACCATGCACACATTAGTGCCACCACACAGAACTGGGAGGGGGTGTTTTTAATGTAACCGGGTCAAACACATTCTGGGACCAGTGTTGCAGGGTGCCATATTTCTTCAGGAGTGTTTGTGAATATATGACAAACTGTGGTGTTCAATAATCCCCAGATTTCAAGACATGTCCAATATCTCATACACACGCACACACACACACATCAACCTCTGTCTCACGCACACACACCTCACACCACCAGGATCTTGACTTCGTCCTGCTCGTCAGGCCGGTAGAAGAAGGGGATGCAGGGGTTCTCCCCGAGGAAGGGGGGTGATCCGAGCACTCCCTGGGGGTTCTGGATCTCTTGGAGCAGCTGCATGATCTGCTGGGCTGTGCCGTCCTCTTTGGGCCCCAGGGACTTGGAGTCAGTCTGGGACGTCCCACTCGACTGGGCCTGTGACGAGGGGGATTCCAGGCCGGGGGTGGGCTCCGACAGAGGGATGACCTCCATGGCTTCTGCAGCGGAGAGAAAGAGCGGCATGGTTAAATTATACAGAATTTATTCTTAATAATAGGAGCAAGTGGACACAAAAGGACACCAGACATATCATTTACATTAAGTGCAATATATAGTTTGACTATTTATCATTGTAACTACTGTATTCTAGCTCACTTACATTATGGTGCAATTTACAATTCTAACTGTTTGTGTAAGTTTTTATTTCGTCTCTCTTTTATTTAATATTTTGCTGCTGTTACACAGTATATTTTCCCACTTGGGGACAAATAAAACAATTCTGATAGCTAACTGCTGACCTTAGTTTGTTTAGTGAAGTCCAGTTTCACTGCACAATTAATCTAACAGTTCCTAAATGTTGGCTGCCCTAGGTACATTTAGCTTTAAAAGGGGACATATGTAACCGTTCGACCAACCTTGGAATTAGTATACATTAATTTAAGATGTAGCAATGACATACAGTAATACCGGTTGTGCCTACCTGCTCCGCTGTCAGCATTAAGATGTGTGTGAGAATGTGCTTGGTGCTCTTGGTGTGTGAGGTCCTCCCCAACAGGAAGCAGGTCGGGGTTCACTGAGCCCGCCCCTGCCACAGCTGCGGTGTAGCGGCTGTACCAGTCGTTCCTCTCAGACACCAGCCTCATCACCAGGCCCTGCAGCTCTGCCAGCTTCGCCTGAGGGACAACAGAGAAACGATTACTGACAGAAAACGGAGCAAAAATCATACAGCAAAAGATGTGATTGATGGTTTTTTTTTAATAACAAAAGGTTGCTTCACAGTACCTTCATCTCCTCCTTGTCCTGGGCCAGCATGCTGATGTAGTGCTCCTTCTCCTGGTGCTTCTGCTTCATGATGGCCCGCTGACTCTGGTACAGAGCTATGTACTCTCCTGGAAAGACAAAGGTAAAAGGATGATGAGTTTTTCCATCTTTCTAAAAAGTATTACAACAAATAAATCCTACTGTCTCACCGATAGTGTCAGTCTCTCCAGACAGCTGGATGCAGCGGTGCTCCAGCTCCTCCACCCTGTCCTTCAAGTCGGCCTTCTCTCTGATGAGGGACGTGAAGCGCTGCTGAAGCTTCTCCATGGCAGCTTGCAGAGCCTGATGAACTTCCACCGGCACTCCTCCTTCTGGGAGCGGGATTGTAAAGTATACAGATGGTTTAGCTAATGCCCCACAGATACTTTCTCATCTTTATAAATCAATCTAATATAAATCAGGCTTAACTTTAAAGGTCACCTTTTATGCAAAATCCACTTTTTCATGTCTTGTATACATACGTATGTGTCCCCTCTGTGTAAAGAGATTCTGAAAGTTTCAGGAAAAAAGATTCGCTCGCTTTTTGTCCTGATCCATCTTTATAAAAACCTGTCTGAAAATGAGCTGATCAGATTTTTGCCACTTTATGATGTCATAACATATTTTTTTGGGTTGTGTAACCATTAGCCAGTAACCAACCAAGGTAACACCCCCCACCTTATCACCTAAATCGCCTCCTAGAGCAGATTATTTTCAACCAAATATCTCTCAGAGGGGCGTGGGGAGTGGCTCCATATTTTCATCTAAATTAACAGACACAGAATCAGCACTTTTGAAACAGGGCTGAAACAGAGGGGATTATGGGATGCTACAATGCATGATCTGGTTTGGTTTCGAGCCAAACACTTCAGAGACATGTTTTGTATATATCTGAGACCTATAATATATTGATGAAAAAGAGTATAATCGGAGACCTTTAAGAATAGACACTATAATCTAGGTCTACACATAATAAAAAAAACATATGCATGCTTTCACAGACCCTATCTTCCTCACCTGAATGCTCATGGCCGTGTTCACAGTGACTGTGTGGGTCCTGAGAGGGATCGTGCTCATGGTGATGGTCATGTTCATGGTGATGGTCGTGGTCATGGGGATGGTCATGATCATGGTCCTGGTGGTGATCATGGTCGTGGTCATGATCATGGTGATGCTCGTGGTCATGCTCATGGTGATGGTCATGGTCGTGAACATCTGTGTGGCTGTGGTGCTGCTGCTCCAGGCTGAGGGCCATAGAGGCCTGGTGCCTGGCCGCCATGTGGTGCCTGTGCTCCTCCTCCAGTTGCCTTCTGGCCTCGTCCCTCTCCGCCTCAACCCGAGTCAAAGCTCCACGGATAAACTCCTCCTACATTACAAACAATGTATCATTTAAACTGGTATAGCCCTGTATGCATCATGTAAGCGCCCATAATGTGGCATAAAAGGCAAAGCAATGGAAGTTCGACAAATCATTTAAGCATATTTGAATGAGTCGTTTTTTGTGAAGAACAATCATCACCCTCCTCACCATGTCTTTCTTGCTCTCAAAGTCTTCTGGGATGACTATGGAGGTGGACTGCTCTGGGCTCTCTTGCATGGACTGGCTCTCCACTCCATCTCCTACGTGAACGAGTGACACATTCAAATTAAGACAGGAACTGCAGGTCATGAAGATCTTCAACATTTTCAACATTGTACCCCTCAACATTCATGTAGTGTACAACCACTTTGGGTACTACATTTCAAAAGGATATACAAAATATGCAATCTGAAGAAGCTTGGATAAGCATAGTAAAAGAAAAGGGTTTAAAAAAGTACCAGAAACATACCAGTAAAAGACTAATCTTACCTTGGTCTCTGGCCGAGCCAAGCGCTGAACTGTTGAGCAGATCCTTCACCTCCGTCTTCAGATGCTCGTTGTCTTTGACCAAGAGATCCAAATAATCCTGTAGGGGGAGACAGAGAGTCATTCAAATGAATTGATTTATGTTTGTAGTCACAGAGATAAGTAAGGCACATTGACAGAATGTGAGGTTACACAACATAGTATCAACATACTGTAATACACTGACTCCAGACCCTTTCGAATCAGTCTCATATTATAATAGTTGATAAAGAGAGCTTTAGGGCAGGATTTTTACTAAAGTATTTCATATGCCTTATTTCTGAAATGCACACCTGCGCTTGCTTGAGCTGATTCTGACTGATCTCCAGGTGCATGCGGCCCTGGCTCTCATCGTGCTGCAGCCGGTCCATGAGCTGGATCTGCTTCAGGTACTGGTGGTGGATCTGTTCCCTCTCTGAGACCAGGGTCTGGTAGCCGGCACAGTACTGCTGCAGCTGGGCGGCCACCTGGTCCCTCTGCTCCATCAGACCCTGAGTGTCCTGACTCTTCAGTTCCAGCTGAAGAAGAGGGAACAAAGAGGAAATGAATGCCAAAAAAAGCAGAAAACAAGTGTTTAAATACTTTTCAGGATGCCATAATCTCATATTTCTCTGTTGTGTTAAATCCACAACGTGGATGGCCATTAATACATTATTATTAAAACATAAAGTTTGCAAAGGATATAGTGTAATCATAGTAAAGACAAATAAGGTACTAAAAGTGACAAATGCAGTGTGCATCTGGACCCGGTGACGACATTACCTATTGACGCAGCAACCACTGTAAGTTATATTCTTGTTTAATTAGACTTCTCTGTTTCATTTATTCGACTCTGTATAATTGTTATTGTAGCTTAAACGGCTAAATCGCTTTTGAGAGATTTTAAATCTCAGATCTGCTCAGGCGAAACCTGCTTCACAGGTCTCAGCACTCAAGCCTGCATTAATATAGGCAGGGCCAGTCTATTGTCGCCCATCAGCTGTAGATAGTTAACTAATTAGAGGGGCGTGCCCCTACAGCTTTGAGAACTGAGCAATCAGGCGTCCATTTTAGGTAGCTCTTTCCTGGAGCGTCAGCTTAAGCGTCAGACAGCCGAAGACTGACAAAGACATTGGAGTCCTACGGGAGTAAGACTGACAAAGACATTGGAGTCCTACGGGAGTCACGAGGGAGGCAAAGAGGAGGCAAATCCTACTCTGATTGAGCTGGTGTCTTATTTCTCTTTTCTTTAGTTTTCTAGCCCCTCATGCTATAATCATGTGTATTTTCTCCATTCCTGTTCATGTGTCTTCTCGCAATTATCATTGGCCCCGTGTATCTCCTAATCGATATAACCGGCCTGCTCTCGTCTATCCCACGTGCTCCACTAAGATCCAACATCTAGTTTCTGGTGGCCTGTGGAATTGCCAGTCAGCTGTTCCTAAGGCTGACTTCATCTCTGGCTACGCCTCCCTGCAGTCTCTGGATTTCCTTGCTCTCACTGAGACCTGGATTACTCCATCCAACACATCCACCCCAGCAGCTCTCTCCACTGCATATTCCTTCTCCCATACACCCAGACCCACTGGCAGAGGAGGTGGCACTGGTCTCCTGCTCTCTCCCAAATGGAGCTTTTCCCTCTTCAAGCTACCTAACTTCACTCCTTCCACCTTTGAATTCCATGCCGTCACAGTAACCCATCCTATACAGTTAACCATTGTTGTTCTCTACCGTCCACCAGGCGCCTTGGGGGACTTCTTGGAGGAATTAGATAATCTCCTCTCACACATCCCTGAAACTGGCCCTCCCGCTGTACTTCTCGGAGACTTCAACCTCCAGACGGGGAAGATAGACGAACTAACATCTCTGTTAACCGCCTTTGCTTTCTCACTCTCTCCGTCCCCACCGACTCATAAAGCTGGCAATGTCCTTGATCTCATATTCTCAAGGAACTGCACTACTTCTAACCTCTCTGTAAACCCGCTCCACACATCCGATCACTTCTTCATTTCATTCTCTCTACCCCTTTCCAAACATAACAAACTAATCTCTTCTCATCCTGCACTTGTCCGCCGTAACCTTCGCTCCCTCTCCCCCTCTACCTTGTCGGTGCTCTCAGCCCTCCCTTCCTCTGACTCGTTCCAACTACTACCTCCAAACTCTGCTGCAGAAACTCTCCTCTCTACTCTCTCATCCACTCTGGACTCTCTCTGTCCTCTCACATCTCGGCAGGCTCGTCAGTCCCCTTCTGCTCCCTGGCTAAATTATGCACTGCGTGCTAATAGAACCGTCCTTAGGGCAGCAGAGCGGAAATGGTGGAAATCCAAACACCATGACGACCTCCTAACCTATCAGGCTCTCCTCTCCTCTTTCTCTGCTTCGATCTCTCAGGCAAAAAGCACTTTCTTTCAAGATAAGATCCAATCTTCCTATTCCAATCCTAAAAAACTATTTTCCACCCTCTTGGACCCTCCAAAAGCTCCTCCCCCCTCCTCACTTCTATCAAGCGACTTTTTTACCCACTTTGAAAAAAAGGTTGATGATATTCGCTCTTCTTTTTCTGACTCACCTTTACTCACCGCTGGGTCACCAGACCTTCCTTCCACCAACACACTAACCTCCTTTTCCCCTCTCTCTCCAAGTGAGGTTCTTACCCTCATTACCTCTGCCCGCCCTACCACCTGTCTTCTGGACCCTATCCCTTCAAACCTCCTTCAGACTATCGCTCCTGATATTCTACTGTTTCTCACCCATTTCATCAACACTTCTCTAACTTCTGGTCACTTTCCAAACAGTCTCAAGGAGGCAAGAGTAAACCCTCTCCTAAAGAAACCCACTCTCAACCCGTCAGATGTTATAAACTACAGGCCTGTCTCTCTCCTCCCGTTCCTGTCTAAATCACTTGAACGCGCTGTCTTTAAACAACTCTCCTGTTATCTCAATCAGAACAACCTTCTGGATCCGCACCAGTCTGGTTTCAAGGCAGGTTACTCCACAGAAACTGCTCTCATTGCTGTCACGGAGGAACTGCACACTGCATCCCTCTCCTCTGTCATCATCCTGTTGGACCTGTCTGCTGCATTCGACACGGTGAATCATCAGATCCTCCTTCGCACTCTCCAAAAACATGGAGTTTCAGGCTCTGCACTTTCCCTCCTCACCTCATACCTGAAAGACCGTACCTACAGGGTGACTTGGAGAGGGTCTGAGTCCGACCCTTGTCAATTAACTACAGGGGTCCCTCAGGGCTCTGTTCTTGGTCCCCTCCTCTTCTCCCTGTACACAAACTCGCTCGGATCAGTCATTAGCCCGCATGGTTTTTCTTACCACTGCTACGCTGACGACACCCAATTAATTCTGTCCTTTCCCCGCTCAGAGACCCAGGTCGTTGCACGCATCTCTGCTTGTCTAGCTGACATCTCTCAGTGGATGTCTGCTCACCACCTCAAACTCAACCTTGACAAGACTGAGCTGCTCTACCTCCCGGGAAAAGATTGTCCCACTCTTGACCTAACAATCAACATCAGCACCTCAGTTGTTTCCCTGACTCAGACTGCAAGGAATCTGGGTGTGACCCTAGATAACAACCTGTCCTTCACTGCAAACATCGCTGCTACAACCCGTTGCTGCAGATACACGCTTTACAACATCAGGAAGATACGTCCCCAGCTGACACAGAAAGCGACTCAGGTTCTGGTCCAGGCTCTCGTCATCTCACGCCTAGACTACTGCAACTCCCTCCTGGCTGGTCTACCTGCATGTGCCATCCGACCTCTGCAGCTCATCCAGAATGCAGCGGCTCGTCTGGTCTTCAACCTTCCTAAATTCTCCCACACCACTCCGCTCCTCCGCTCCTTTCACTGGCTTCCGGTAACTGCTAGAATCCACTTCAAGACACTGGTACTTGCTTACCATGCTGCGAATGGATCTGGCCCTTCCTACATCCAGGACATGGTTAAACCGTACACCCCAGCGCGTGCACTCCGCTCTGCATCAGCCAAACGACTCGTTGCGCCCTCGCTGCGAGGGGGACCCAAGTTCCCATCGGCGAAAACACGTGGGTTTGCTGTCCTGGCTCCAAGATGGTGGAATGAGCTCCCCATTGACATCAGGACGGCAGATAGCTTGCACATCTTCCGGCGCAAACTGAAAACTCATCTCTTTCGACTCCACTTCGAGCGTTAGAACTATTAACGAAGCACTTTTATACTAATAAAGGACTGGCTTACCTAAAGCCAGTTGAGTAGCACTTGAAATGTTTGGCTCTATGAAACCTGATGTACTTATATGATTCTGTTTTCTTCAAGGTTGTGTCTTCCTGGTCGAATGTACTTATTGTAAGTCGCTTTGGACAAAAGCGTCAGCTAAATGCAATGTAATGTAATGTAAATGCCACAACTTCAGCCGTGTTTTGTGTGTACCTGCTCCTTGAAGTTGTGCAGTTCCTCTTGCAGTTCACCCATCCTGCGAGCCAGCTCCTTCTTCACATGTTGCTCTGTCTGGATGGCATCGGTCAGCTCCATGTTCTCATTGGTCTGCACAAATGAATTTTGATTAAAGTCTCCCACCCTCTGAGCTAACACTTGAAAAATGAAAATGAATGTGCTCTCCAAATGTGTGAAAAACCTTTCAAATTATTGTTACAGATAAATGATTTACAGTCTCACCAGTTTGACAAATCCGTTCTGTAGCTCAGCCAGCTGGTCCTTCAGCGTTCGGTTCTGAGTGAGAGCTCGGCTAATGGTGGCCTTATCTGACTGAACATCCTCTAACATGCGTCGGCGGTCCCCGTCCTCCTGGACCTGGCTCTCTAACTGCCGCTCCAGCTCTCCCAGACGCGTCTCCTGCTCTGTACACATGCGGCTCAGCTGCTCGTTATCTCGCAGCTGGGGGAAATTTAACAGAGGGGAATATAAGCAACTTCAAACCATCGTTGAAACATTAAACAGAAAAAATCAATGGGTATAGCTTTCAAATGTTAGGGACACAGAACCATAATACACTGCCGAACACAATATTCCAATATTATCCAAGAAATAAACGAATCATTAGCAGAAAAGGAATGCTCTAAGTGTGTGTGTGTGTGTGTGTGTGTAAGGCATACCTGTGCCTGGTACTGTGCAGTGAGAGCGTGTTTCTCCTGATGCAGAGCGTTGAGGGCCTCCTGCAGAGCCACCTCGCTCTCTGAGGGCCCCGAGGACTGAGGCTCCGCATTATCCTGAGCCTCTCTCTCCTGGGACAACAACGCTGGAGGAGAAGAAGAATGACAGGTATTAGATATAATCATTTTGCAATAACAAATACCTTGTATGCCCGGTATTAAGCATGCTACAGCTCATATACAATACATCTTTTCTTTTTTTTTGTAATTCTAAATTTGTATTGCATTTTCTATTCAGAACAAAGAAACATTGGCAGTACACTGCATAAACAAATCCCTCTCCTCCATGGTCCTGGCATTGACATGAAAAGACATATAATAAAAGTAATATAATAATAACAAAATAGGATATAAGGTATATCAGCAATGGAAAAGTGCAATTCTTGGTAAACATTCAAATTAGATAAAGTCTCTGACGGCCTTTATGTGTGTCCAGAAACGTTCCAGAAAAGTAGTATCATATACAGTATATTTAAGATTTTAAGATTATGCTAAAATAAAGTTTTCAAACTATTTGAAACCTCACCAATGTTATTCCTGCAATGGAGGGAAGAAAGACTGAAGCACGGCATTAAAGCCTTTAAAAACACAAATGTTTGGGCGATAATTAACATTTCGACACCAGCTTACAATAGTGTCAAACATCGTCTCTTTGCTCTCCCCTTGACTCTAGAAGCACCTTATCAAGTGTACAGTGCTGCAAGATAAGGGGAGCCATTCTGTAAATCCAACTACGGTCAGGCAGTCGGACATTTTATTTACCACGGGTAAACAGGCAGCTTAAGGAAGGTCAAAGCCAGTATGAGGTTGAAGCATTAAACAAGGGCAGTGTGAGTCTCTCACCTGCAGCATGTTGCAGCTCTGTGATGCTGGCTTCCAGGTCTTGGACTCGGTTGATGTTTCTGTCCCTCTCCTCTGCTACCAAAGAAACCTGCACAGACACAGGAATTAACATTTAAATCAATAAGTCTAATGTTTTTCAAAGCTATATTGAACCATATGTCTAAGCTAATGTTACTGTGTAGTTCACCTGTGTTAGCAGCTGTTCTGTTTTGTCCTTCCATACACGGCCCTCCTCCTGGATCTGCTCTGCATAGCAGTCTCTCTCCGTCTGCAGCTGGGATATTGACTCCATCAGCTACGGCATCAAAAACATTAAGGGATAAATACGGTCAACATGGCAAGACTTTATTATCATAAGAGATACAACAGGCCGCTTTGTTTATTTAAAATATATGTTTTTTAAAAGTATTAATATGCTGCTTTTATGTATCACATATGGAAAGGAGAAGTAGGAAAGGCAAAGGGATATCTCATGGGTCATTTGATGCAAGGAATGTGAAATGCAAGGAAAGAGGCTGATGAGAACAGGAGGTTGGCTGAGGAATGTTTCTATGAAAGGAAGGGAAACTAGTGAGGCATTCAATTATGTTGAGTTGTTTTAATGATAATGAAAGAATAAAATAAAAGTTTAGCCACTAGCATAACACATATGCAGATAACTGTAGGAGAAAGACCCTCCGTGTTCACAGACCTGGTGATTGTGTGCCTCCAGCTGCTGCTTCTCTCCCAGCAGTAACTGGACCTGCTGGGTGGCATTAGAGGGATCTGACTGGCTGGAGCACTGGAGGGGGAAAAAAGGACAAATACTGACATGAAATGCAGGTAATAGATGATGAAATAATCTAATCGGGCTGCAAAGATCTTAGGGATCTTTATTGATACAAATCCCAAACAATGGCTTTTTGTTGTAGATTGGCTATAAAGTCCAAAGCTTGTAATTATTGTTAAGACGAAGATCAGTATATATGTGTGTCTGTGTTTTAATGCACCTGTTGCAACATGAGGTCAGCTATCTCGAGTCTCTTGCGAAGATCTTCCAACTCCAGCCTCATTGCTCCATTCTCCTGTGTTCTCAGCTTTATCTGCTCTGACAGCTCTGAGCCCTGCTGCTTCGACTCCTCACTCAAATTGCTGCAAACACAGACACATGCAGAGGTTGTTCATCTAAACTACAGATTCTTATCAGGACTTGGGGGATTTGCTCACGCCGTCTGTTGGGTTGATTAGCTAATCTTTCTTTGATGACATTGTTATGAAAACCTTCACCTTGTGAATGTTAAGTGACTTACTTTAGTCTAAACACCTCTAGTCTCAGGCTGTCTCTCTCCTTTTCAAACTCTTTGTTTTGCTGGAGACAAAAAGGAAAACATTTATTAATAATACCACTTTTAAATGATTTCAGTTTAGATGTGAACACTGCGATGTTGGTCACCTTTTCAAACTGTTTTTGCTGTGTTGAGACAGAAGAGAGAGTTCTCTCCAGCTCGGATACTCTCTGCTTCGTTCCCTGCAGACGGTTATTCAAGTCCTCTGCCTCAGCTGCACACACAAAGACACAAACAAACTGTAAACTCAAGTCTTGCAAAGATTAGAAGTTTTGATTCAAGTGTATGTACGGCTGATCATTAAAAAAGACACACCTGCTTTCTGCCGCGCAGCATGTTGTGTGTATTGTAGTGCTGTTTGTAGCTCTGATTTCTCAGATACCAGTATTCCAATAGTCTGGATGTGAACCTATGGACGACAGAGGGAAGGTGTTTCAAGACATAAACATTAACTCCTTTATTAAATCACGATATAAACTACACAACTTAGCATGCAGAGAACATAATTAACTCCTGTCAGAGTGAGCAAAGGGGGGATGCTGTGTTCTCGGATAACATTTGTATCAATTATATATCAGGGTGGTACCATGGACTCTGACATTTTACACTGATACATTACATGGATGCAATAAATGCTCCTTCCTTCTTAAAATACACCGTCCTATAAATTGAATGTGTGTGTTGAGCGGAAGAAGTTACCTGTAATTGCTCCCGCATGGCTCCCTGCTCTTTCGAAGATTTCTGATCAAATTCTTTCCGCTCCTGGAGAACATAAAACATGATATAAATGAATCACCGGGAAATAGGTCAAAGTTCAGTAAACTGGAAAAATAGACACAGGAATTAACAGACAAGGTATAAAAAAAAAAATCTGTTTACCTTTTGCAGCTGTTCAGAGAGCACCTGAGATTGCTGTGCCTGCCAGACCAACAGGATATAAGTTTAACTTCAGCAAAGATCAACATTTATTTCATCACACCAGCAGAAATTCTGACACAAAATCCCTCAACTGCATGCCTAACAGGACAGGGATAGTCGTAAGGATTTAAATAATAAACCTGTGATGTTTACCTTTTAGGTTTATATGAAGCTTTAAGTTAGTGTGCTACAATTAAGCGTCTACCATGGAAGCTCTGACTAGAGTGTGCAAATAAAGAGAGGCATTCTCTTGAACCATCGTGAAGGATAAGTAAAAAACATGAAAACCATTATAAAGATGACATGCAGAATGCTTACAGGGCATGCTTTTCTGTGATATATGTGGGACTGTTGAAGGGGGGGAGGGGGTTACTACAGACACACAGACGTGCAGACACATAGACGCACACACAGCCTCTTACCAGCTGGTCTAACTTGGTATTTAGCTGAGAGTTTGTTAGGTTGCTGGACTCCAGGGCGGCTGACAGCTCCTGGTTCCGACCCTATCACGTGCACACATGCGTCCGGGAGGAGAAAAAAAAAAAGGAGAGAGGGATATTGTGCTGTGACAAAAGTCAAACAAGGAGACGATCTGTGACTTATTAACATGGAAGCAAACAATAGCAACTCTATGAGAGGTGTAAAACATGAATAAAATAATTGAAATATATCATAAAATACATGATGTTAATCTGATTAATGGAGTATATTGATGTAACAATGTGTTTTTGGCCTTTATGTTAAGCCCTCACCAGAGTTTTAACAATCTAATCTGCGCTACATTAACATGTCAATGGTTATTTACCATTTTTTAAATTAGTACCTGCTGTATCAAGTCACAATCCCATACCATATTCCTTGTGCACACTTCAAGTCAATAAGGTTGTTAAAATCCATTCAATGGACTGTTTGTGCTTGACAATAGACTAGCTCTGTATTGTTTAACATAGATATTACCTGTCCCCAAACTGTACCTTAATGTTTTTTATTTAGTTTTACCTAAACAAACCCTTTCAGCAATATGAAGAAGTCCTAGGTGTACTCATGCTACAGGGCAGCCACTTTACTGTGAATCACATGGCCTCAATGCTCTTGTGACAGACCATGACCTCAATTACTTTTAACTAATAGTTTTACAATATATTAGATTTCCATCTTACCTCCAGCTCTCTCTCACCCATGGCAGGGGGACTGTCTCCATTCACATACGCAGCAGATGACTGAAAAGACAAAGACATGCACATCAATGCAACACGGAAAATGGTATATATTTCAAGGTGAAAAACAGATTGTACGGGTGTCTGATTACTTCTGTTAGTAAGCAATAAACTGTTAACTGTGTCTCAGAAACAGACAACAAGCAAACTGTATAATGTGTTGCACTAAATAGAAACACACGAAGCAGCTGCACCAGTTGATGCTGTTAGTGTGCGTGAGGCCTTTGGGAACAACTGGCACATTTAAAAATTCTTCCAGAGCATTCCTGCCAAGAATAGATGCATCACACCATGGATGAAAGTGATGAAAAGTGTTGGTGTTTAATTGTTAAGTTTTACTATATGTATGGGAAAGATGTGTGTGTGTGTGTGTGTGTGTGTGTGTGTGTGTGTGTGTGTGTGTGTGTGTGTGTGTGTGTGTGTGTGTGTGTGTGTGTGTGTGTGTGTGTGTGTTAGAGAGACACTGGCGCTGCTGAAATCTTACCCCAGAGACCAGGCCGTTCAGCTGCTGTGAGAGCTGTCGCAGGCTCTCTGTGGAAGACAGTGGTCTGCAAGGCAAAATACAGAAATAATCAATCACACACATTATCCAAGTCATTCACTACGTTGTATACCTAATTAATGACAAATGTTATGTTAAAGTAGTCTCTGCAGAAAGTGCAGCATTCATATAAAATGTGCTAATGATAGAGTAATAGAACGAGCTGTTTCAAGAGGGCGTTTTCTGCCCTTGATATAAATATATATTTCCAAATGATAAACACAGGGTGTTAAACTGCAGCGTTTAAAGATACAAGGGTGTCATGGACATCAGGTAACCCACCTTTTTTCTTCAGTTAAACTCCCATTGCCATTGGTGTCGGTATAGTCCTACAGAAAGATTGAAAGAGGAATAGAGAGTGAGAGCAGGAGACAGACAAACAGGAAGGAGGAACACAGAACATGTATAACTTGTGTGGAGAGAAATTCACATTGTAAAACAGAAACAGTCATTCTGATTTTACAACACACACACATATCATTAAAAATGCAGCAACTGTAATTATGCTCCGAAGTGAGAGATACGGAGGTTTAAAGGTGACACTACAACATATGACTTGAGAAACAGAGACAAAGAGATAGTGACGGAGAGAAAGACACACACCTGCAGGTCAGTGTTGTGACCGACAGACTCGGGATTAGTAGGAGTGTTAGCGCTAGCGGGGTTAGGCACAGGCGAGCCGCGGTCAGGCTCTGCCTTCGGGTCCTCCAGCAGCTGGGGGACTGGTGACCCGACGGACTCCATGTCAGCAAAGGTCTGATGTGACACACACACACACAACAAATGCACACACTGGTTTAATGCCAAGAAAACAAGCAGTTATGATGCAACAGAAACATGGAGGCCAAAATGATGCAACTTTATAAGCTTTTCAAATCAAATCAAGTTTTATTTATATAGCACATTTATAAACGATTTTTGGTCGAGCCAAAGTGCTGTACATATAATAAAAACAGCCTACAGTAGAGACACTTTACAGCAAATACAACAGCACAGATTGTTCAGAATATCAGTATGAGAAAAACGACACCCTCTATCCTGAGACCCTCACATCGTACAAGGAAAAACTTCCAGAGAAAACTCCACAGTTTAAAGGGGAACATGGGAGAAACCTCAGGGAGAGCAACAGAGGAGGGATCCCTCTCCCAGGACGGACAGACGTGCAATAGATGCCGTGTGTAAATCGAAGAGATAATACATTTTACAGCATATAGACCGAATGTTAGGAAATGCATGTGTCTGTAATAAGAAGTTGAATCCACGAGGATGTCAGCTACAATCCTGTGGAAGCCATCAGGGAAGCAGCATGGCGAGACCCAAGGCAGGACCGCAGAGACAGGTTCTTTTTATTTTTATATTTATTATTTTGGAATAGATACGTTCAGACTCAATCTTCTGTGAAACGTACAGATATGATAGTCCACAGCCTAGGATGATATTAGAATGTAATACGAAAATGCAGGGATTTTGTCTATTTTTATCAATTGTTTAGTAAACTGCTAACAGAGCAAATAATGCAGGCTCTTTTACAGATGGTGAAAGATATAAAGCTGTTACGCTGCTGCCAATACTTTTTCAAAACACTTCTGCCCATGGCAGTCTTTGAAACGTTAGTAGAATAAAAGCACTGAAAAAACTCTAACTATGCTGTTTAAATGCCAACGTGGAATTGAATGACTGACAAAGAATCCCTCTCTGTTTCACTTACTCTGAAGCTATTAAGCAATATTTTTATAATAATCTGTAACAACAAAACAGGGGTGGGTGGCATTGGGATATATATTTTTTAAATCCTCTGGAGCAGAGAGAGGAGCTGTGGATTATCGTTATTGCATCAGTGTTTCTTAGAGTGAAAAACACTAAACTCACAACTTCAAATGAAAGTGTTTAGTTTATTTAATAAAAGAGCACATGTTCAATGTGAAAAGTGATAGTAGATATAGATTAGTTGCAATTTGGTTCCACTTTTTCTATTATAAAAAAAATAAATTATAATTCTTAAATTTATAATTTTTATTTTTTTAAACACCTTGAATTTCAGGAGGGGCGCTGGGCTCCGTTGGCGGGGCGCAGCGCCCCTCCAAGACAATGCTAGGGGAAACACTGCTTCTTAAGAGTGCATGTAAATCAGGCAGTTAAAAAGCTAAAACAAACAAACAAACAAACACAAGGGTAGCAATGAAAAACGTTTTAACAAGTGAGACAAACAAACACTTTGTTTTCTAAAAAGCATGCCTGCATGAGATGGTGAACTCGAGAAGATCATTGAGATAAACTCAGAAAAAATAACTGTGCACACTCTTGACATGGATTTAAAAGCCAAGCACCAATACAAGAATTTGCACTTAAAATGTGCCCCATGCTTTCTGGACTGTGTGAAAAAGAAAACATATGTGCATCTGACGCGAGAAGGAGGTTAGAATGGGGAAGCCAGATGAGATATTAGATTCCACACAAGAGTGGCTATTTACAGCAACGTCATGCAGAGACAGAAAACACAGTCATGGCAGGAAGGAAGAGAGACAGACGCTCACCTGACTGTTGCCATTAGGAGGTAGAACTACTCCATTGCTTTGACTAAGTGCTTTCAGAATATTGTCAAACTACAGGAAGAAGAAACAAGGGAGGAAGATGAAAGAGATGCAAAAGGGTGAAGAGAACAGTATAACCTGCTACAATAAATCCTAGGAGGAGGTCTAGAAGTAATATGGATGGGTAATAAGGAGCAACTGGTCCAAGAGGTCAGAAAGATTTCCTGCATCTTTTAAACCAATTACAAATAATAATCAGAATTACCCTTGACTGTCATCAAAATCACAGAGGGGCAGCGCTGCATTTGTTCAAATGTTGTGTTTGTGGATTGGAATAATCTCTAACTCCGTTTCCTATGATGCTTCATTTTCCTCTGCAATTACATCTATAAACTAAACACACTAACCTTTTTACATTTCCCCTCGTCACCTGATCTGCCAAGTCAATAATTATTGGACTACTTACCTTTACAATTTAAATAGATTTGAAAAAGCCTTCATTAAATGACGTTTATACAAAATGCATTATCTTTATGTATATGGAAATTATTGTAAAATGTTTCCTCTGCTGTGATTCCATAAACAAAACTTGTTGGTTACTAGGAACATCATACTGTTTTACGTCTAGTTCAGACTATAAGGCTATTCAGAAAAAACTAGACAACAAAAGCAAACATGCTTGGGGGAAATATTGTAACTCAGCAGCAGAGTGGTCACTTGCCCAGATTCCAGTAAGGCTTTAAAAACCTGTGACAACCGACCTGTGTGTCAAAGCTGTGTGCTGGAGTCACATGGCTAACTGCGTGTCCTCAATCGCACTCTCAATTTGGTTATGAGCTTCAGTTCAATCAATCAATGTTTATTTATATAGCCCAATATCACAAATGTTACATTTGTCTCAGTGGTCTTCAGTGTGTACAGAATATCAGTATGACAATACGACACCCTCTGTCCTTAGACCCTCACATCGTACAAGGAAAAACTTCCGGAGAAAACCCACAGTTTAAAGGGAACATGGGAGAAACCTCAGGGAGAGCAACAGAGGAGGGATCCCTCTCCCAGGACGGACAGACGTGCAATAGATGCCGTGTGTAAATCAAGAACACACAGCTGTAGACTGTGCTTGATATTAAAATGTTATAGATGTCAGAGGTAGAAAATAGGCAAACTGACATTGTAATTAGCACTAAAAGATAGGCATGTGACTCTGGTTGCAACTAAATTAATGATTTTAAAAATGCCCAATAAAAAAGCTTGATATGGCTAATACCAAAATAGAAAACTTATGGCCAGTTGTCAAAGATAATACTTTCTCTAAAGTGAAGACAAAAATGTTCAATATACCTGATCCTTAGCTGCATCATAACACTGTCCACTTCATCGCGGGGTTGCGATGCAGGGTCAGCTATTTTGACTCTATTCCAGTGTCTTCTTTCTTAGACAAACATTATTTATATCCTGTCACCTGCTCAGCAGATACATGTCAGTACTGTGTATGACTGATAGCAAGAAGGAAAATATTTGCCAACTTTATAGTAATTCAGCCATATCATTTTACAAGCGGCAACATATTTTGTGATGAATGGCAGCATGAGGACTTTTCTTATTGTGTTTATTGCTTTGCCTGGCACTGTTACTGTCCATATGGAACAGTTCTACATTTGATATATACATTCACACAACAATGAATGTTGTCTGCCCAGCTCACATAGAGTTTGAATGCTTTCTAATTATAATACAGCGTTTAAAAAAAGGAAAAAGAAATGATGTCTATTTCACAGGATTCCACAAGATTTGATCAATCAGACAGAAGACTGACCTACAAAGGTGAAATGTCAAGCAGGCAAATAAATAGAAAGACCGTCCAGGACTGACTTACATTGTCTGGAGAGTTTCTGCCTGTTGAAGATGCATCATGTTGGTTCAGTCCCTTCACCTTCCTCTTCTTTTTGGCCCCTGCTCCACCACCACCGCCTCCGCCTCCTCCTCCCTTTTCCACTCCCACACTAGTAGGAGAGCTCTTCTGCTGAAACTCCTTCAGCTGATCAGCACATAAGAAATGAAAAAATAGGTGTAAGAAGTGCAGCAATCAATACTGACTGACAGAAAACTATACTGCTAACTCTCTAACAACAATAGACTTAATTGTGTTACTTATTAAAAATCCTGCAACTTTCAACCATCTGAGATGAAGCAGGTATGGACTTCTCCAATCTAACAACTTATTTACTGTCATTTGGACTTGCTCGCTTATCAGCGTGCTGTTCTTACCCAAGTAGGATGGAGTTGATAACAAAGATCAATACAACACTCTGTCGGGGACAGCTGTTGGAGGGGACCATATTATGGATCATATGGGAACTACTGGAGCTGCCATTTCTAAAGTAATTGGGTTGAATCCGATCAGCATCGCATCTAAAGTGTTATCAACACGACCATTCCTCCTCAAAGAGAGTGGGACAGCAGGAATGCTGACGAGTCATTTCCTGAAGCTAACATTTCACAGCTGACGAGGCCATCTTTCGGACCAGCCTCACATACAGACTATGCTAACACACTTAGCAGCTAAAGCACACAGCGGGACAGGGAAGAGGGGTGTCAGCTGTCAAAACACTCCCCGTCATTCCATCATGCTAACTCTGCTACAGTGATAGCTTAGCGTTTGTTTTAAAATCGCTGTCTGTTTACCATTCCTTTAAATAATTTAAACATCCTGCAGACAACACACAAAGCTACCCGGCTGCAGTGTATCATTCACCTACACTCACACATAGCCAACTATTCATTAGTTGGCCTGCTTGCTAACGGTTAAGTGCCTTAGTTAGCTAGCACGTTAAGGTTTGCTAATAACCACATAACCAACGCTAAAAGACACATTACAATACACATTAAACCATTGGGCAAAGAGAGTAAGTAAAGTCAATCACTTACTAACTAAACAGCATTAGACGCAATAAACGCCTCAAATAACTAAAAATAGTCTTCATAATCTGGGAAAGTTAATGCTATCAATACAGGCCCCTAAAAAGCACCGGTCTCTCCAGCGCATTGAAGCCTCGAGAAGAGCAAGGGAGGCGGTACAAGCATCAGCTCAGAGGTCGGGCGACGTGTAATGACAACACCCCTTCTCCTTGCTGAAATGAATAACAGCACGAAAGAAAACACCGGCAACCAAACCCGCAGAGGAGAAACAGGACCAGCACTTCCCATGTTGTAAAGCCGGATCAGTAGTAAAATACTCTACCTTTTTCTTAGCTGCAGCGAGTTTTATTTGCCTGCTCTGGTCGGCCATACTGCTACTGCTGCTGCTCTGGTCAACGGACCGAACCACGTCACCAGTTTGCTGTCTGTTGGTGTAACTGCCAGCTGCCGGTAGGGGTCGCAGGCTGGGTAAAAAAAAATCTCCTTCATGCAGCCCCCGGGAGGGACATGCATGGGGGGAAGAATCAAAACCAACCTAATTTGTGTTTGATAAACATTTTTATTATAAATATGCACATGCCTATATAATTAATGTTGTTGATATGTCCTTAATATATGAAAGGTAATAACTATTACATTCCCTAAGCTCAGTAAAGTGCCTATTCCTTCATTTGTTTAAAGCAAATACATCAGAAATGTATAAATCACTAAGCAGGAACACGGATACACTTGGTGTGTTCCTAGTAACATATATTGATTGACATACAACAAACTAAGTTTGAACAATTCTCAAAAAAAAATTAATATGACATGTATCTCAGAGTTTAAAATGTTGAGCTTCACAGTTTAAAAAAAGTAACATTGTTCAGAAATGTGCAACTTTTTAAAGTTTAAAGTCAAAATCTTACAGTTTACATATTTATATATCATTAAAAGAGGAGTACTATACTATTGTACAGTATTTAATTTTACATTATGGCTTATCCAGTACTATTTTACATGTCCATACCTCTATGGTCCATACCTATTCCTTATTCCACCATTGTGTCACTTGTACCATTTTATTGAGCTGTTTTAGTTTCTTGTTTCTTGTATGTCTTAAGTGTATTCACTCAATAAAAGATAATACATTTCCATCAGCTCTTAAAACTGCTATTGTAACACCAATTTTTAAATATGGCGACAAGAAAGAAGTAGGCAACGATAGACCCATCAGCATTCTACCTGTTGTGTCCAAAGTAGTTAAAAAAGTAGTCGCGGAGCAGCTGGTGTCACACCTAAGCTACAACAACCTACTCCATCCTATGCAGTTTGGTTTTAGGACCAATTATTCTACTGAGACTGCATGCTGCTATTTAGTGGAAGGAATCAAGGCTAAGTTAGACAAAGGAGGGATAGTTGGAGCAGTGTTCCTTGACCTGCGAAAAGCATTTGACACAGTAAACCATACCAAACTTTTATCAAAACTCAACAATTTCAACCTGTCAGTTAGCACAATACAATGGGTCAGGTCTTATTTAGCTGGTCGTTCTCAATGTGTCCGTATAAATGATAAACTGTCAGAAACTAAGCCATGCTCAATCGGAGTGCCACAAGGCTCAATTCTTGGACCGCTGTTGTTCAGCATATATATTAATGATCTCCCATCTGTTTGTGAGGATGTGGACATCCAGATGTATGCTGACGACACAGTGTTTTACACTCATGGGAAAGATGCTGAACAGGTTGCCTCTAAGCTCTCGTCGACGCTGCACAAAGTTGCTCAATGGTTAAATGACTCGTGTCTTACTTTAAACACTAACAAAACAGTGACAATGTATTTCACGAATAAGAAAAAAACAACCACGCATCCACAGCTTCGTGTGAATGGTAAAATAATTCAAAACGTCAATGAGGTCAAATACTTGGGAGTGATCTTGGATGCCAATTTGACTTTTGAAAGCCATATTAGAAGCATGACTAGAAAGCTGAAATATAACATTTTCAAATTTAAACATATTAGGAACTCATTAACCATAGAAGCATCGAAAACCTTTTTGCATGCCATGATACTATCACATTTTCACTACTGTATAACCTGCTGGTCCCAAGCAACTAAGACTGCTATGAGACCACTTGAGGTTCTTTATAAACAAGCCTTAAAAGTTATGGATAGAAAGTCATTAAAACACCATCATTGCAAAATACTGTCCAAATACAAACTTTTCAGTTTTGATAGTCTTGTTCTACTTTCCCGAGTTCGATTGGTATTCAGAATCATTCACAATTCTACAACACCACCGTTGAGGGGCTTTTTTCAGTTTCGCCGTGAGCAGAGTTGCAGAAACTCCAGATCTGCATCAAATGCAGATCTAACCATCCCTCTGAGGCGCACTGCCTTTGGACGATCAGCATTTTCGTTTACGGCCATCAAGCACTGAAATACTCTTCCAGTTTAACTTAAAGCCTGTACTGATTTTTAACTCGTTTTCCTATGGTGCAAAACAAATGATATTAAGCAACCAGTCATGCCAACATTAATTACACTGTAATCTGAGTTTTTTTTATTTGAACTGTACTGTCATACTATATCTTAGATATTTTATTTAAGTGTATTTGAAGTGTACTAAGTATTATGTTCGTAACCTGAATTTAAATCAGGCTTTGTAATTATTTGAGTGACCGAGATCATGTAAGTGTATTTCAAGTGTACTATGTATTCATTTATTGAGCTGTACTTAAATCAGGTTTTAAAATTGTTTGACTGATAGAGACCATGCAATGTTATTATTTGTTTATTGTTTGTTATGAACCTGTCTGAGGACCACAGATGGAAATTAGCTATTAGCTATAATCTGGCATATTGCATATCTTCTCTTTGTTGAGATTAATGTTTTTGTATGCATGGTCCTTCTATAAATAAATACAAATAACAAATAACATATTGTATGTTGCACAATGTGGAAGGAGCCTGGAACCTATATGAACAACAAAGCTGTAGCTATTGTGCAAATGACAACAAAGTCTCTAAATCAAAATCTCCCGTCCTGGGAGAGGAATCCCTCCTCTGTTGCTCTCCCTGAGGTTTCTCCCATGTTCCCCTCAAACTGTGGGTTTTTCTCTGGAAGTTTTTCCTTGTACGATGTGAGGGTCTAAGGACAGAGGGTGTCGTTTTTCTCATACTGATATTCTGAACAATCTGTGTTGTTGTATTTGCTGTAAAGTGTCTCTACTGTAGGCTAATTTTATTATATGTACAGCACTTTGGCTCGACCAAAAATCGTTTATAAATGTGCTATATAAATAAAACTTGATTTGATTTGATTTAAATATTTGAATCTTGAATATACGATGTCAGATACTGTCAACGACAAATAAAACAAAGGACATATCATTTACAATGTTTCCTTACTTCTAGTCTGACCCTCAGCACTCCAACCATGGAGGGACTTTAAAAGGAGACCTTAACTTGGCTAAATGGAACTTGGAGACATAAGTCAGCAGAAAGCAAGAGACATCTGAGGGTCAAAATTATATTTTTCCCCTTGATTCTGCAGTTCCTAATAATAATAATGTTGTTGATGTTACCCTGTTAGAAAAACCTCTCAAACCAAGAAAAATGATCTGTTCTATGGATTTTCCTTTTATGAATTTTTACTTATGTAATTTTCCTGATGCATGTACAATACTTAATTCAGAAATCTTCAAACAAGATGATTTGCTTTGGAAACTGAACTGAATTAAACTCAGCACAGTGATAGAGTTTTTTGGTAATTATCACTTAGCCTGACATACCAAGTAGGTCTAAGCATGACACGGCCTGCAACTATAGGCTACAACAAAAGAGGGCTGGGTGTTTGTTGAAAATACAGAACAGGTAAACATTACAATGACAAATACTTGTGATTGTGTAGTTACAGTACTTTCTTTAATATCCTATAAAGCTAGCATACATACAGATTTTAAAAAGTGTTCATAAACACTGAAGTGTGGCCTTGACAACCAATTACTTAACCCTGACCTATTTAGACTTTTGATATAGAAGATTGTTTAAGATAATCCAGTGTATGTGGTTTTGTTTGATATGTATTGTAACCTGCTTAACCTACATTGTATTAGGCAATAACATATCTGTGATCAATTTGTGATCAATAAAACACACAAGTTAAAACTAGATAGTCAAATTAGGCAGGTTTAATTTAAAGGTGGATGTGTTAAGCCATCATTTGTGTGTACATTATCTGATGAAATGTCCTGACAATCCAGTTTATCTGATGTAACACCCCTTGCTCTTAGGCTATTTACATGCATATTACATAGTGTTTGCAAATGTCTTACTCATGATTGTGTCATCACAACTACTAATGATACCAACACTACATCATGTAGTACTCCTTGAAAAAACAGCAACATGAGAATGAACGTCAGTCCAATTAATGTGGGCCCATTATTCTTAAAAAAACCAGGAGTAACTTAAAATGTACAAAATGTGAAAATGCACCCTTCCTCAATCTTTAGAGTGGCGTGTCATTGCTCCAACTGTGTTCATGAATACACTTGACAGACAGCCAATAAGCATCCGCACTGTGGGCAAAAGCCGTGACGTGTCCTCGACCCGATGTGTGCAAATCAGCGGCCGACAGCGTGCCGGTGGAAACCAATCAGCAGGTTCCAACGAACAGCTGCTCAGCCAATGGCGTGCCTCCACGACGGGAAAGAAGTGACGGCTTATATATGAAGAGAGCACGGTTCATTCAACATCATTACACAGAGGCAGGAATACAGAATACACCGAAACTGAGAGATACACCGCTATAAGAGGCTGGAACCAGTTGAGGCAACGCCAAGGACGTTAATTCATTGACAAAACTGCAATCAAGGTATGTATACGCATTGTTGTGAATATGAATGTGAGACAATGTAATATTTTGTGACACAGCGTTGGTACTCATTTTATGAGTTTCATTACGATAAACCTGCCAAATTTGACGATGTTAAGTTTACATTAGTCTTTTAATTATGAAGAGAAGACACTGATTTGTGATATACCATGCATTAAAACGTGTTTTTAAGAGCTCCTTATGGCAAAGCATTTTTTCCTGGCATGTCTGCTAGGCAAGCTAACGTAGCTAGCTACCGGCGAATAAAAAAAAGAAAAGGAGACAGTGGTGTTAGCACTCGGAAGAGGCAATCGGGCTCCACCCACATTACCCATAGTCTTTCAACGCTTATATTTGACATTTTCGGGGATTTCTAAGTAAAGGTTACATTTCCCATCTATCATAGGTGTATATACATGTATAGTGTATGACACTATCTATCTAACCCTACCATTAGCTGTTAAGTTAGCGACCTGAACTTTGTAGACCGCAAGCACATGTCATGACAAGACACGTTTGTTAACACTGTTTTTTCAATTT